TTCAAAACCAGTGAAAATCTCGTTGGTCAAACTGTCAGCCTCAATATTTTCTTCTCTTGGTCGCCACTTCAATCCCAGCGACAGCCTGGCTTTTGAAAGAGATGCTGACAGTTGCATGTTCACTGCCATCAGCGGCCACTTCGTTGTCGAACGCTTTGCAGAAAGGGCCTCATTGGCCAAATTGTCCGTTCCTGCAAACACCAAAGCTTCAAGCGACTTCCTATCTCTGCTTTCAACCAACCATCCAAAAGCATGTAGCGCCCCCAGTGTGGCAAGGAGCTCCGCAGATGTGGAGGCCCACTGCGAGGCCCCCCCAGGTTTGAAGAAGAAAGGTGCCTCTGTAGGACCTATGCGCAGGCAGTACCACCTCTTAGAATCCAGTTCCCAACCAGCCAAGACAATGTATCCATCTGCACACTTTGCGTCTGTACGAAACCTCTCTCCAGCAATGATCTTGGGTCTGTGGGTCGAGACCATGTAGGTTCCCGCTGCGAGCTCAACCTCAATGTACCTCAACGTCAAAATTATTGTTTCGGGAAGCCTCCCCACAGTTCCCTTTGCTGTCACTGCAGACCAAGCGAATAACGGGGCCAGGTGCGGCTTCACCCACGTGATCAATTGAGAGATGAATCCAAGGCGCCCCAAAAATTCTGCAAACTCCCGAGCCGGGACAACAAATGCATTGGCCCTCACTTTCGCTATCCACTGTAACAACCAATCACCCCTCCTTTCAGATATCCCAACTTGGGACAAGTCATACCGGATATGGTAGCCCACAAAATCAGAAGCGTAGCCACCCTTGAACTTGTGGTACCCAAAGGGAGTACCTACCATCTCATAGGCCAACACCCAGACCCAAAGGTGCAGAAACTTCTGCATCCCTACAAATGATCCATGCAAGTCATCCACATAAATCATCTGCATCATCCAACGCTGATTGAAGAGGTATCCAACAAACCTCCCAAGAAGCCCCGCCAATTTTGCCCACCAGTATGGTGCGCTAGCCACACCAAAGGTTCCTGTGTGATTGACCCAAACTGTACTGGATCCAGAGTCAGCTCGACAACAAAGAAGGCCCCAATCCCGCTTACGGATTTTAACAAGTCTGTGTGCCGCTTTGATGTCAGCGCTAACACAGAAGGGAGCTTCACCAGTACCTGTCGCTTCACGCACAATGGATGCAATCTCTGGAGGGCCAGGACATTCAATCTTATCTTTGTAAACAATGCTGTGATTCACCATCACCGAGTGAGTAGCGTCGTGCAAGGGCCTGACAGTGCCATCTGGCTTTAAAATGGCCGCCATGGAAGCTACCCGCAGCGTGTCTCCGTACTCCTGCTGCAACACCCCCAACTTCGATGGGTGCATCCGTCCAAGTTTCTCCTCTTCCCTGAACTTGTCCTCCAGCTCCTTGGAGGAGACCTGTGCTGAAACATAATTCTCCGCAATTGGGATGAACTCAGTGTCATCGAGTTTCTTGCGCTTGAGCTTGGGTGGAAAAATTTGTGGCGACCGTGGCAGCGGTTTGTCAACACCAACAAATACCCCTGTTGCAAAGGAATCTTCAACATCAGTCAACCAGTGTGCATCGGGATCTTCAAAACGTTTGAGCCACTGAGAAAGCGCCCTCAAGTAGAAGGGCTGACCTTCATCCACTACTGCCGCATCAGAGGGGTCGTCAAGCAACCTAAACCATTTCGTTCTCACTTCTTGCAAACATGAATCAGAAAAAGGTGAACCTTCAAGTTTGCCGGTGACAAGCTTAAATGCCTCCAATCTGATATCTTGGATCTCTCCCTGAACAGCCTCTGCAAGAATCTGAAATGTATCTTCTGCCAGCTTCAACATGTCTGTCGAGCGCCTACCACCCCTCTTGGATGGTTTCCATCTGCAAGGGCTGCACAGGCCAAAACCATCAATGAAACCTCTGTGCACGCGATCCCATTCCACACTGATTGGAGAGCCTGTGTTTCCACAGGCTGACATGTCAAACTCTTCCACTTCCTCGTGAACTGCTTGGCCAAACGTTAGTTCCACCTCTTTGCCAGAATCCTGAACCTGTGAATTACCTTCATCACTGCTATCTACCACCACTGTTGATGCATCTGCTATTGATGGTGCAACTTGCCCCACTGTTGACGCACCTGCCATTGACTGTCCAACTTGCCCCACCTGTCGCTCTGCCGCAGGAAGGAACTTCCTTCTTTTGGAGGGCCCCAACAACAACTCATCCTTAGACCCCCTACCGCAGGATGCCTTGGCATGAAGGATGAGTTCAGCAAGAAATTGGCACAGCAACGGAGGGTATGAAGCACTTGGAGCTGTGTTCCATTTTGCCCCTGTTTTGCCAATCAATTTCGCAGTATGTTCATGTCCACAATGCCTGGGGAGTGGACCTTTGTAAAAACCAAATTTGTCAAACTTTGGCAAAGCACAAAAACATCTCGGATCTTCCACCTCCATATTTGTTAAAAATCTCGTTGGTTTGGGAGTACTTGCTCCAAATTGACATTGATGCAACGCGAAAGAAATTGCCCCCAACTTGGGAATGAGTTCCAAAAGCTCAGGCCACTGCCAAATAGTACCAGGCCTCTCGGCACGCACTGCCCCAAGATCCTCTGGATGTTCAAGCAAAAATAGGCCTCCTGACTCTGCAGTGCATTCACAAGCTGCTAAACAACGATCAACAAATAAATTGGCCTCTTCAACTTTCAGTTTGTCACGGTCTCTGAGCCAAGGAAAACCTCTAGGCCATGTCTGAGTTCGCAACGGTTTCGGCCCTTGAAACTGCAATTGAAAACGTGCTCTGCTGAATGTATTGCATGGTGGTGACACAATGAGCACCCAATCGCCTTCCTTGAGAAGACTGAAAATGCGCTCCCACAAATTCTCATCTGTTAAATCATGCTCTGGTGAACGTTCAATATCGAATTCCATCAACTCCAATTTGAACTTGCCTGATTCAGCAGCTTTCTTCAAGAATGAGCCTATGTCAGAGTGTCGTTGATGCCCAGCAAAAAGGTACATAACCTTGAGAGTTGGCACCTTGCTCTCGCCAGAAGATTGCGCAGCCGTGCCGGGAGAGGCTGCAACTTCTGATTGTCAAGCAGCCGCCTGGCTCTTGGAATGCTCCACCGCTTTGTGGCTCGCGTAGCAGCCCTTGACTCTGCATTGATGTACTCTTCCGCAACTTCCGTCACAATCACCAGTGTTCCAAGCGAAACATAATTCACGCCCATCTGGCGTCCTCCAAGCCAAACTCAAACCCTTTAATCTTGGGTCACCTGACTTTCCCTTGGTTTTGCCTTTGAATCCTTTCCCTTTGCCCTTCTGAAACCCCGACTGCTTTCCACCAAAAGATCCAAAGCCGCCTTTGTTGTTGTAGCGGACAAACTTGTTGGGTTGTCCCTCTGGCATCGAAGCACGCAAGGCCATAGGTGTGGTGAAGTAGGCCTCCTTGAGGTCGGGGTTCTTGATCACAGACTCCAAGGTATCAGAAAGGGAATGCCCTGCCAAGACAAGCTTCATGGCTTCCTTCCTGAGCTTGTGCTCATAGGCCAGCACAATGGACCAGTCCGGTTTGACCCGCTGCGCAGCAGCATCACTGGCAGCTGCCGGAATCTGGATACCGTAAACCCGATCGCCCAAAATGTATTCTGTAAACCTTTGAAATGGAGCCGCCGTCAACCCATGTAGCCAATGCTTGGCCTTGTATCGCGAAGACATTGCCAGCCATGCGTACATCTCTACTTTCATGATTTTTCTGTATTCTTCCGTTGACACTGGCATCTTTGCTTTTGTCTTTGTCCTGGTGACCCTGATGTGACCTGTATTGTCCACTGCTGACTGAATCTGCGAATTGGATGAAGCCTGCTTGCTCAAGATCTCGTCCAACGGTGCAGCAGAAGGCTCGTTGCACTCCGTCTCCTCCGCTTTCAGCGACAAATAGTCCGATGACGGACACTCTGAATCGTTGAGCTGGCCGTGAACGGCTTCCACCGCTCTCAACATTGCTTGCCTCTCATGGATCTGAAGGACCCTAGGTTGGCCCAGCACCTTTGCTTCTGCCTTCAGTTCGATCTCCTTTGCCATGTACTCCTTTGCAGTCTCCCAAGCTGCCACCACCGATGCCGTTTGAGCACGGCTAGCAGGTGTATCGCCTGGAATGGCGAAATCCTGCAAACAGGACGTGCGTATGGAGGCACGATCGTCTCCCAACGCGCTGAATTTGCGCAATGTACCATAGTGTCTGCCAATTGCCACCTGGTTCTCCAGGCTCACACCAGATTCACCCAAAATGAATTGCATGTCAGCATCCACATTGTCCCTTACGAACTCAAGCTGTGCAGCTGGATCCATACCGTCCCGCTTATGCGCGCTCTGTCGAGCAGGAGCGGTGCCCAAATGTCTACTGAAAGAAACTCAATGTTCCAAAAGGACATTGCAAGAAAGTTGAAACCAAATGGAAACACTCAAACACCGGACAGCTTGCAGTGAGAAATCCAGAAGAACTGAAAACAGGTCCAAATGAAAACATCAACGAAAAGTGCAAATGTCATGCATGCCACTGGTCTGAACCACTGGTCACTACCTTTGTTTCTCCTGTTGTTGTTGGCACCCTGAGGTCTGAGCCAACTCATCTCAATGACACTAAAACTCAATTCAAATCCTCTTAAACGTCTGAACGTCCAATTCCCAAATGCCATCATGTTGGAATCAATGAACCTGTTGACCTGCCTGAAACTGCAATGCACAACATCCACGACACGAGACAACGGATCAAAAGAACCTGTGGACCTGCCTTGGAATCAAATTCACAACAAGCATCACAAGAAAAGGCAACAAAAGACAACCATGGCAATGTTCCCACAGCAACCCTTGGTTTTGTCGGCACTCAGCACGAATTGAATCTGAAACTGTGATACTACCAGTCGTCTTAACGCTGGTTGCAACTTTGTCTAAACATTTCAATGCTCCCACAACCTTCGTTTCAATGACTCTCACGACGGAACCTCATCAGGCCCCCCACCAGAAGCTGTCGAAGACGACGAGGCCGTCGACGATGTTTCTCCACCGTCGTCTCTCCCACACTCCAGGAGCATCTTTCTCTTGCATGCTTGGCAAATGGAATCAAAATCATCACTTGAAATTTCATCAACAAACAACACTTCGCAGCACCTGTCAGGTTTGACAAAGCAACCAGTCAAGTGAAGGCGTCTCAACGCAGACCTTCTTGAAATGGTAATGAAATACTTTGTGACTTTCGTTGCAGCTGCTGCATCTTTCTCACAGATCTTGGCCACTGACGCTGCCAATGCGGCCTGCGCTTCAAGGGACTCATCATGGTCCTGCACATCATCATCAAAAACCTCGAGAGTGGGATAAATGCCACCAAGAGAATTGCGACCTGACCAGTTTGACAAAACAGTGTGCCGTTTCTTGATTCTGTTTGGATTGGCCCCTGCAGCCTCTGCAGTGTCACACAGCTTTTGGATGGCCTCATCCTCGAAGTAAGGCTCCTCACGCCCTTCAACCAGGCTACGATTCACTGCACGCTGGATTTTGTGCACAACCTGTCTGGAGGTCCTAACATATTCTTCAGATGAAGTCATGCCCATAGTCCAAGAAATGCCCTCTCATCACGGGAAAAACCAATTGCAGCAGCAATGGATGTGAGAAAGTTTCTAGGGCTGTGGCCGCTGAAGAACGTCTCCAATCCATCCGGGAGGAGCAATGCATGTGGCATGAGCTCCCAACCATGTGCCACCCTGCGCGGCACTGACAACATGCCCAGCAGCTTTGAGATCTCTGAGCTGAGACCTGCTGGTGCCAAGAACTTTCGCCTGATCTTCTTCCAGTCAGCAGTTGGCTCCATCACCAAATAATCTCTTCTGTACCTGTACTCATCTGATTCCCAAATTTCAAATCCAGCACGAAGCCAATCCTCTCCAGAGATTGATATGGTGCGAAACACAAACGCAGCCACCTCTTTCTGCATCTTATCTGGGCCTGTTGTCTTTGTCTTCCCAAGCACCAATCTCAGCCCATAGTTTGAAAGCGAGCTGCGGTGTGGTAAAATTGCTTGCACATCGTCGCACCTCAATGCTCCCCACACCATGCATAGCACTACCCAAGCCAACGCCCGTTGAAACGACGGAAGATTGATTTCCACCACAGTGAGCTCAAGTGAAATTACCATTGCAACCGTGTACATCTCTGCAGGCTTTCGTGGGGCCGATTCCGATGCAAGTTCAGCTGCCCAAGACTTGATGTGCCCTTTCCAAACAGGGTCATCTGAAATCCTGCTGCCCTCAACCACTCTGCCCAGTTGCTCAAGCATCGCCAGGGTCGTCCCCAAAGATTCCGGGACAGTCTTCCCGCAACCTTCATTGACTCTGTGCTGTAAATAGTCAATGGCATCCCTGACATCCCGTGGGAAAAGGCAGCTCCGATGCGTCTCCAACCAACGCTCGAATGGTTTCCAAATCTTATACCTGTTCTTCAGTGTGTTCCCCCTCCGAGCAGCAAAAAGGTGAACCCAACTAGCTTTTGGGTCCTCCAGCGAATTGATGAGGGAGACCACTGGCAGCTCAGCGTTGATCATCACCTGAGCCAACAACAAGGAGTACTTCTTGCGGAGCATCTCAAACCTCTGTGACCTAATGTCAGGAGGGTCCTCCTTGTATTTCTTGTGCTTCCTCTTTGTGTGCATCTCAAGGACACACAGAACACTCGTTCTTGTAAGCCGTTGAAACTCACCTTGAACTGTCACATTGTCCAGGGTTGGCAACCTGAAAAGCTGACTAGTTGCCACACATGACCTAAGCCGTTTGAGTGGCCTCTCATTGTCCCACTTCCACAACATCAACTGTGCCACTGTATCCATCCTGAGCTCTTCGACCATTGCCGGAAAACCACATGCCACCAAAGCAGCGCAGTCCTGCTCTTCATCGAACGCTGCATCCAGCAGGAGTGGTGACGGATACAGAATACGTAAATGGCTCAGCACTCCAGGATCTATTGCAGGCCACTCAACATGGCAATCCATCAACCATGAAACCTACGTCCAATCTTGATTGGATAGTGAAACGCCCCAGACTACCTGAAAAAAATTCCTTGACAGTCAAGGTCTCGAAGAAACATAGAATTGAAATCTTCCAGCAAAGAAATATCTCAAGAGTGACATCAAAGCAAACTGTTTCCAACTGAAGATGACAGCAAGCACACTGTTTCAAGTCACGATTGTACAACGACTGCAACCAAATGAAATGACAGCACTGCAAAACATTTCAGGTGATTGACTGCTCAAAATAACATGTTGCACCCAGAAATTCTCCAAGTCAAAATTGAACGTGGCAGCAAATCTCAAACTGAAATAAATGAACCTTCGCTACCGCCACAACGAACCCGTTCGCAAACCAGTCCTGAAGAAACATCAAACTGAAGAACCCCAAAGGCGAAGAGGAACCAGAGGAGAAGAAGGCCAACCAGGCCAAAGCACCACCCACCCACCCGACCAAAACTGTGCTTCACATAGACACACTGTGCAAGCCCAGTGGAGCTTTGTTGACAAATGCAGAAATCTCATCAGAAGTGCATGATCTGTTGCACAGGTAACCATCGGTTCCAGGGGCCCTGCAGATGGGTCCAAAAGGACAAGCATCAAGGTTCACATGTAACATTGCAAACGTCTCCAGCCATACCGGTGTCCAGTCCACATCAGTAATGCCCTGGATCGGACACACAACCGGTAGGAAACGCATCTTCTTCTTCAAGGAAGTTGCAGTCTTGTGGAATGAGGTCTCTGTTTCAATGAAGCCAAAAAACTGACCCTCATACTCATTCCTGTCAACCCACATGCGATGAATATACTGCAAATCTGACCATCTGGACCGTGAAAAAATTGCAAACAAGACTGCTCCAAGCATGTACTTGTCAATCGTGTCAAGATGCCCCATCATCAATTTTTCCAATTTGGCAACCTCATGGGCCTTCATGGGCCGTGCGGGACGATACACATCCCGTGACAGCATCAACCTCTGGGCACGACCCTTCAACTGTGGGTCCTGTAGCAGGGCGTCTTGTATTGGTATCTGCATTACATACCTGGCAAACCTGAGAGCCTCCAAAAATGACATGCCCAAACTCGCTGCGGGTGTGCGCACATCTGTCGACCGTAGATAATCTAAGCAATGCGATCTCTCCCAGGGCTCCCAGTCACTGCAAGACTCCTGTAACCATCTGAAATATTGCATCAATGTCTGTGCCCTCTTTACAGCCGTTCGAGGGGATTTGACACCCAGGGCATCTCTCAGGACCAAACCATGTTCCGTAGGATCTGCAAAATGCAGCTCATTTTCCAAGGCAACTCCCAGCTGCCCAGGAAAACCAAGAACATCAAAGACCTGTAACCATTTGTCAATGGCCCTAGTCCACAATACCTCCTGCTGGGCAAACATGTCTTTGTCTGGTTTGACTTTGATTGCAAATGAATAAAACGGCAGCTCAAGGTACCGACCAGCAACCTTCTGTGATGCAGACTGAGATGCAGGCACTGCAGTAGTTGAACCCGACTGGTCAGTAAAACATAGATACTCTGCAGGCAAAGTTGGTATGCCAGCCGCATCATTTGTTTCCGAAAAAATGTCACCCATTACACCAGATTCCCAGGGGTACTTTAACTCCGTATCGCCCAAGCTCTGGAGCCTGGCCTCAAAGAGAGCCTTGTTAACATCTGCTCTCGAGAGAGGTGTGTCAACGCATGATGCAGGCTGTGTCACATCGACATGAGATTCAAACCTTTCCGCATCTGATTGAATTGCATCCCGTCCAAAAAGATTGACAAGGTCGGGACCTGAAGGTGATTCATCGGGTGGTACCTGATTCGATTCCTGGACATTCAACACAGAGGGTGACATGTTGCACTCGTTTGCATTGTCAAGCATACTAGAAAAACTCTCAATTCCCTCTGCGCTCATCTTCAAGATGTTCTCTGTACGTGTCCAGTTCCTCCAAGATGTCCACGAGTTCCACACTGATACAATAAGTTGTACAGCAGAACGCACTCAAATCACTGATGGACAGAAAGGAGAAAACAAGGATACAAGAAAAATCACTGTAGTCCCAAAGGCACCAAGTAATGTTAAAAATCTGAAATTCAGTCAAATTGTCGTACCCGTCATCCAAGTCTAAACGACGTGCCATCGACCACCCATGGCTCCACAAAAAACGAATCACGTAAGAAACGTGAACCCTCCCACCCTCCCTTTGGAGGTATTGAACTTGAAATGGCCACCATTGGCATTTAGTTCAATTTACACCTGTGTGCAAAAGATTCAGCATATGTTTACAGAAAACAACAAGCTGAAACAACTTTAAAAAAAAAAACGAGTTGGGGAAAACAGTTCACTGAAGAGTTACAAACGTAAAAAGTAAAGTTGATTGCAGATAACGTTTGCATTCAAACGCACCGCCAATAATCTCTTCAAGTGATCACCCAACTCAGAAGTTTCCTCAGGTTAGAAGTTTCCATCGCAACGCACGCGAGAGGGAAAGAGGAAACGCAAAAGCGCACACGCAAGAGAGGAAGGGAACGGGAAGGAGAAGGGTCAACTAGAAGCTGCATTCAGCTTCTTTTTCTTTACGCAAGGAATAAGGTTACATCAGCGCGCTGAGTCGCAACATAGCAGTCATCAAGGAATTTTTCGGACGATTTTAAGTCTTTTGAAACTAACAAAAAATTACAAATTACAGCATTTTTGCGTTTTAACGTCTTGTGTGGGAACAATGCAAAAACGCAGAAAATCTTGTAAGCACCAATATTTTTTAAAACAGAGATGCACAAAACACTGCAAATCCCAGTGTTTTTGAAAGCAAAGCAAAAAAAAACTGTAAATTACTGCACGTTTGGCGGGTTGATCGCAAAAAATGTTGGTATTTACACAGTTTTTGAAATGTCAAGAAAACGTGGAACTGTCAATAGCGGTGTTTTGGCCGCTTTTGGATGCTGACTGAAACGCTGGTATGTACGCAATTTTTTGCGTGTGGCTGTACCCAATTTTTTGCCTTGATGAACGCAAAAAATGCTGGCATGTACCTGGCACGTACGCGTTTTTCAAAAAATCAAAGATCGTGACGTGAACGAAACCTTGTAAATAACAGTGTTTTATCCACTTTCGGGGACTAAAACTGTGGTGTTTACGCGGGTTCTTGCCATCTGACAGCGCAAAATGGTGTAAAGTACAGCACTTTGTGCGCTGTTTATGTTCAATGTTTAAACGAACGATGTTTTCACATGTTCTTGGCATTCTTCAACAAGAAACGACGCTACAGATTGAAACTAAACGACAGTGCGGCCCGAAAGAAAGCTGGAGGGAGAACACGAGAAGATAGCACACAAGAAAATTTGATGATGAATGCTGCTGGTGAGGAGTTCTTACACAAACGCGTTTACACACAAACCACACAGATTTTTTTACGCACAGAACTTTCTACACAGACACAATTTTTACACAGAGAAGTCTTTACACAGAGCGGCTCTGAGACACAGAAGTTTTACACACAGAGGTTTTTACACAGAAAAGTCTTTACACACACTGAAGTTTTACACGCAGAAGCGTTTACACAGAGAGAAGTCTTTACACAAAGGAGTTTTTATGCACAGAAGTTTTTACACAGATATGCCTTTACACTAAGAAGATTTTGCGCACAAACGCGTTTACACAGAGGAGTTTTTACACGCTGAAGCTTTTACACAGAGAAGTGATTACACAGAGAGATTTTACACACAAACGTGTTTGCACACAGACGCGTTTACAGTAAAACCGTTTACACAGAGAAGTCTTTACACAGGAACTTTTACACACAAGGGCGTTTACACACAGAAGCTGTTACACAAAGACGCAGTTGCCCAAAGAAGTCTTTACACGGAGAGCTTTAACACACAGGCGCGTTTACACACAGAAACTTTTACACAAACAAGTCTTTACACAGAGAGTTTTTACACACGGAAGCTTTCACACACAGAAGTTTTTACACAGAAAAGTATTTAAAGAGAGAAATTTTTACACACCAAAACTTTTTCACACAGAAGCTTTTACACAGAGAAGCCTCTGAGAACCTTTACACACAGGAGCTTTTACACACAACGCATTTACACACAGAAGCTGTTACACACAGACGCTGTTACATTCACATGTTCTTAGCATTTTTCAACAAGAAACGACGTTACAGATTGAAACTAGACGACAGTGTGGCCCGAAAGGAAAGCTGGAGGGAGGAGACGGGAAGATAGCACACAAGAAAATATAATGATGGATGCTGCTGGCGAGGCGCTTTTACACAGACGCGTTTACACACAGAAGTTTTTACACACACAGGGGCTTTTGAACAGAGCATTTTTTACACAGAGCGGCTCTTAGACACAGAAGTTTTTGCACACAGAGGCTTTTACGCAGAGAAGTCTTTATACAGGCGGGTTTTTACATGCAGAAGCTTTTACACAGAGGAACTTTTACGCACGGAAGCGTTTGCACACAGAAGTTTTTACACTACGGAGATTTTGCACACAAACGCGTTTACACAGAGGAAATTTTACACACAGAGGTTTTTACACAGAGAAGTGATTACACAGGGAGCTTTTACACACAGACGCGTTTGCACACAGAAGCGTTTACACAGAGAAGCCTTTACACAGAGGAGCTTTTACACACA